TATGTGTGTGTGTGTGTGTGTGTGTGTGTGTGTGTGTGTGTGTGTGTGTGTGTGTATCGAGAGTTCTTCCTCTTGTTAGAGACCCTGAAAGCGGTTTCTCTCACCATTGTGCGAACGCATGGTGTAATTTTACTATCATCTATTTCAGTCTCTCTGTCTTTCTCTCTTTCTCTCTCTCCTCTCACGACGGTGTCCTTGACCTTCGCTATTCATCTTCTCACGGAAGTTGGATCCTCAGAGACCTTCGTTCATCTTTCAAGTTTCCCGATCTTTTCCTCTTCAAACTCTTTCCTTTGAACGAAATTCGTTCCTTGAGATTTTATTTCTCTAAAATGTTAGACTTCAACGTTCGAACGTTCGAGAATTTTAAAACTCAAAAGATGAAAAAGTTAGTTTTGAAGATGACCGACATTGTGTCGACAATGGCTCTCGCGAGTCCGTTTCACCTGTTACCGTCTTCTCGCTAATTTATCGCGATAATATCCTCGCCGGCGGTGTTTTATACCGGTCTCGGCGGCACGAATACGAGCAGGAATACGCGCGAATACTTCCGGTTATGTAATCGCTAGAGTTACACGTTACGCTAGCTCTCCTCGAGTTGGTAATAAGTTACATTCCGCGATGTCGTCAGCCCGCGGCGAAATGTAGGTTTATGGCGGTCCGCGGAACGCGAAAAGAAAAATCGCTTTTCCGCGAAGAGTGCCTTGGTCCCGCGAGAGATTAATCATCGTGCCTCGGAGCGGGAATACTTTGTGCGTAAAATTTTCAGAGAAACTTATATCTAATATCATCTAAATACGCTACAAAACTTGTAATATTTTTGTATTGCAAAACTCGCTTTGATTATTATCGTAAAAGCGAAAATAAGTATACTATCATATATAAGTATATATTAAATATTACATAGGAAAAACAATTTTGCTGAAATTTAAAAATTTGACTAGGACTACAGAATTGAAAAAAAATTATGTGAAATACATTAAACATGATAATAATATTGTAAAAATTTTTGATATTCTGACAATCGATTTGAGCTTATCTTGCATAATTATTTTGATGACTTAACGAAATTATTTTCAAATTTATATCCAAATTCTTAAGTGTTTCAGCAATAGTGTTCTTTGTATTATATTTATATATTTTTTATTATATAATTTATTTATTAATTTATAATAAAAATAATAATCATCGTATGCTTCTTCGTCATTTAAAATTCGATATCTTCTAATTTAAGTTTACAACAACAAAATGTTTAATATCGTTCAATGTTTAATAACACATTTCTATACCATTCTATCATCCAATCCTTTATAATTCAACTTTTTATATTTAAAATATTGAAATCGAGATTTTAAGAGAGAAATCTTGCGCTTCTAGACTAGATAGATTTTGTAGTCGGTATCTTTGCTGTCTTCCACATTCTCTTGATTTCTGCATCTGATGTAGCTAGTTCTTTTATTCGTTGCATTCAGCAAAATTATCATTGTTATTATTATCCTTATCACAGGAGTGGCGACTTTCACTGCACCATGTCCGCATTGTTGCTATTGTTGATCGCGTCACTTCTGGCTCCACCGGGCATCCACGTGGCGGCACGCGATGTCGATTTCTGCTTCGCAGACGAGGATGACCCGTATCTGTACATGGCCACGAAGACCGCGTACCACTTCGTTCATGGTGGCAAGACCCGATTTCAAACCGTACCGAGTAGGTATCGAAAGAACTTGAACCCTTCGATACGATATCAATCGGCATTGGAGCAAATTGATGCTCCGTTTGTTTAAAAGATTTCAAAAACGGAAGGAAAGATATATATAAATTATTAAAATTAAACTCGTGAATGTCGCTCTTTCTTGTCCAATGTATCGAATAATAACATTTTTATCCTTTTAATGTTACTTTAATAAGACCCATCGGTTGCGTCGATGATATTGGCTTTAAGCAAAATTTTAAATTTGTCGTATATATCAAAGTAAAAGTGAAAATGCTTTAATTTATACTAATAATTTAATAAGATAAGCGTAAATTAAAGCGTTTAGATATCACTTTTGTTTTGCTACAATAAATTTAAAATAACGTTAATGCAACCTAAATATACTTATATTAACAAATGAGAAAGGATAGTCATCTGTAAAGAATTTATTCCCGCAGTTGTAATTTTTGTTGATAAAACACGATTTCCCTTTTTATTATATAGCAATATTAACGCCATAAAATGGAAGATAAGATTGTTAACTATAATTCTATTAATAGATTGTCGACCGATACAAATCTGGATGCTCGCGGCACATGGCACCCGTTGTCCGACTTCGGAAGAGATCGGCAAAATCGTCTCTTTAACTAATCTCAAAGAACAGATACTTCAAAATCATGAAAAACGCGGCGGTGAGTTAAACTTTCCTTTATTTCTTTTTCGTAAAAATTCTTTATAAAATTAACTCTTTCCCTTTTTCCTTTTCTTTTATATCTTCTTATACAAATTTTCATAATTCTTTTAAAATATAATATATAATATTCCTTTTTAATTTTTGTTTACATATTTTATTTTGTCTCTAAAATATTTATTAAAAATGTATTCCATAAATTCCATATCAATGATTTTTAAATCGTTTTATAAATTTCCAAACTCAACAATATTTTTCCTCGCTTTTCGATACTCTCACAATATTTCAATACAAGAAGCTTAAAGAAAAAATATGAGAATTAAAAATTAATATCAATTCTGTCAGTATTTAATAAATTTTAATTGTTTTAATTTATTCTTTACCCCTTTCTAATTTCTAAAACTAAAAAAAGATAAAAAGCAAGTTGAACCGAGATTAAAGTCAATCTCTCATAAAAATTGTCATAAAGTTAATACGTTTTTAGAATCGTGTTTTAAATGTCATCGATCAATTTTTATAGATGTAAAGATATTTATCTCGTTTGTTACGCAGACGGTCATATGTGCAATCGAGATCTGGATAACCTGCGAAGATGGCATCCGGATGATTACTTGTCACCGCAACGGGCGGAGGTTTTAACACCGCAAGGGGTAGAGGATATGAAGCTACTGGCAAGAAGATTACAGAGCAATTTCCCAGAGCTGCTGCAGCCCAGTGCCAACAATATTACACCCGCCAATTACAAGGTGTCTCTTTACAATTGTTTACACTGTGTAAACCTGTTGATCATCTCAAACGCATTTTGGACTATTTGTAATGCATCAGATTTCAAGAAATAAAATTTCATTAATAATTCGATTAGAACATAGAACATAGAACATAGAACGTATTGAATTAACAAAATTAAACAAAATTCTATTTTTAATTTCGATACAAATTATCTAACATAAGTAATATGTAATTATAATTACAATAAACTTCAAACGAATGATTAATCAAAAATACTGAGTAAACTACAAAATGAGTCATGTGGAATGGGCTTGATTTTTAGTTCCGTGCTACCGAAGCTCGTGATAGTATGATGTCCTTCATGGACGGATTGTTTGGCAGCAGGGCCGCTGTACCTTTGGAAGAGAATTCTCTTAATGATACCTTACTTACCGTAAGTGCGTTTTAATTATAGTTACTTTGACTGAGGATCGATTTAGTGAAATCTCAATAAAAATTCTATATATACATGTACATTATATAATCAATTTTTCACAAGTTGATGTTTTGAAAATACAGCGTTGCAGGTATTTTTTGAAATAGGAAAAAGAGGCAAGAGAATAATACAAGTTGAAAGATATGATAAATAAAAATTTAAAATTATAAATAAAAATTTTGTTCGATAAATTCGGAAAATACCTTTCGAATTTCAGACACTTTTCAAAATAATTTATTGGAAGTGATTTGATTTTGCTTCTTTATATTATTGCTTTATTTTTTATTTCTTATCAATCAAAGTCGATCGTCATGCGTTTGCTTTAATCTGATTTGATCAATTTCGCAGGCGTACAAAACTTGCGGAGTGTGGAAAAATGAGGAAAACGAAAAATCATTTGAGAATATGGAACGTAGCAAATTCGAGGACGGGCCAGAATTCCAGAATCTTCTGAGGAACGTCAGCAGACGGCTTGGTTTTCTATACAATATTTCCTCTGGTACGCACACGAACATTATACGCGCTAATTATTTATCGTTAGTTTATCTCTTCAATAAATAATATCTTAAATAAACAATTAAAATCTTTTATTTCTACTAACTCTAAATTTCATTTTTCTACTAGCTCTACATTATAATCTACATATAAAATTATTGGAAATTTTTCTACAAATAAAAAATTTGAATATTTATTGAATATTTGCCTGCTGGAAGTAGACAATGATGTCTGAATATTTCTAGATGTAATCAATACTATATACGACGCGTGTCGATACCAGAAGGCTTGGTCTGTCACCGAACTTTCACCTTGGTGCGCTGTCTTTAGCAAGGAGGAACTCCGTATTCTTGAATATAGAGAAGACCTCGACTACTACTACAAGGCGGGTTATGGACGAGATATTAACACTCGATTGGGTTGCCCTCTCTTGCATGACATGATGCGACACTTCCGGTATTATAATAAATTTTCGAATTTCTCGTTTCTCATGAATTACGAAAATCCTATTAAAGCTGTCTTGTATGAAAAGGATTTTGTTAAAGCATTTAAAAATTTGACCAGATATAGATTTGAAAATAATTTTGTTAGGTTGATCAAGTCTCTTATGTAGAACATTTAAATATAAAGATAATACTACAAAAATTTATGATGGCCCAACAAAATTATTTTCAAACGATATCTGCATCTAAATCAAATTTTTAAATACTTCAGCAAAACTATTCTTTCCGTGTCTCAAATTTTTTATTTCAAATTATCCATTCAAATTAACTTTTAAATCGAATTTTGCTTAAACTTCTTAGAAACAAACATTGTTAAAAATTAATGTGTGGAGTTTGATACTATTACTACACTTTGTAATCTAGAAAAAAAGATGTTGAAGAGTTTAAAAGTATATTTTTTCACCAGGAATTTAGCGGGTGACGAGATGACGGATGAACCTGCGGGTATTTTCTACTTCAGTGACATCGTCAGTCTGCAAAATCTTCTAACTACGGTAGGCATAAATCAGGATCAGACACATCTGACAGCTCACAACTACAAGAATATGGCTGGACGTCAATGGCGTACATCCATGATATCGCCTTTTGCCGCGAATCTCATTGCAGTATTTTACAGGTGAATACATTCATTATTTCGTATTTTAATTTGCGAAAATTATCCATAAGTCTGTAATATACAGTATAGATCTTGCAACTATATTGCAACAATATTGCTGCAATAGTGTAACGCTGCAACAAAGTTTGTGCTATACGAATAGATATGAGTCAAGTAAATTAGCTTTAATAAAATAATGAAATTAGTCAGTCAGCTTTGAATTCCGTAATAGAAATCCTTTTATCACGAACATTAATTAATTTCTAATCGTTCTAAAAAATCGATTGCAGATGCAACGAAAGCAATGGCCATAATAAAGTGATGTTCTATCTGGCGGAGAAACCGATACGGTATCCCGGCTGTCAAGTGGGTCTCTGTGATTGGGAGTTCCTGAAAAGCAAGTTCGGTCAGCTGGCGTCCAATTGCAAGCTGGACGTCTGCTGGAAGACAAGCGGAGCAACTTCCAGCTCTTCGAAATCATTCGTCATTCTATTAGTATGCTCCATTCTAGTCCGTCTCGGCTATCGACAATTGTAACAGGCTTAGTTTTTACTTCAAATACTGAGCATTAAATTTTAAAATACTAAATACGAATCGTAGATCTGTACATCTTCAAAGGTCTTAATATTCATAGAAGACTTTCCTTGACATATCATAAATAAAGCGAAAAAATTAAGACGTTATATCATTTTTAAACTTATGTTTTTTGCGATATTAAAAATTATATTACATTACATTATATATGCGAATAGTATAATATATATAATAAGTAATGACATTTAATATGTCTTTACATATTTTATTTTTAAGGATTAATAGAGTTACTGTTATAATAGATTCCTCCTAATATTTACGATAATATCCTAATTTATATTTCGAAATATATATTTATTACATTTTTGTTTTATTTATATGCGCTTGTTACTATGCTATGTTAATTACTTTTCTATAGATAGACATAGATTAAATATAACTATCTTATACTTATTTATGTTGTACGTCATGTTTAATCTTTATTCCGAATTTTCATTTCCAAAATTTAATTCTTATTCCTAATATTTCCTCTATTATGCACAGGACTTATTTGAAAAATAGGGCCCCAGTTGTTATTTCGGCTAAGTGACCAATACGATTGATCAATTTTTCCTCCATTCAAGATCTCGGATCGATTTCTGGATATACGATATCTTCCACTCGACGACACATATGTTATTGTTTTAATGCATGGCTGTGTCTCTCATCTCTAAAAGATTCTCTAGTTTGAATTGGTCATCATAGTCATGATGTAAAAAGAAAGATGTAACTAGAAACACTATGATCGGAGACTGGTCACGAAAAAGCAACTTTTGATTGGTCCGCCATCTTTTGGCTATTCCCACTTATTTTCAAATACATTAATTTTAAATTGTAATACTTTAAAAACATAAGCGTAATCAGTGACAGACTGTGATTAGTCTCTTATTAGAGTGTCTTTAGTTGCAACATTTAAATCAAATTTTGTTTATGCTACTATTATAAGCACATTTTTGATGTGTTTTGGGACGCGAGCGGAACTTCCTGCCAGCACGATAGACAAAACGATCGCCTCGTGAACGTTTTTTTGAGCGAATCAATGAAAATGAACTAATCTCTTTATTTCCAAAATAAATTCTTTATTAACTAATAAACTTTTTTGTATAATCTCTCGCCTATGACTATTTCAATGGCACAATTAATATTCAGGGGTCTTAATGACATCTACTAATGCTGGTCTCTTGCCAATGCTCTTTTATGTTTATCTTTGTGTCTTAATATTCCTCAAATTTGTCCATTTCTTTATTGATGAGTTCGAGTTGTGCCAATACCTCCTTATGTAATTCTTCAATCATGTAATAGGATTTCTCAATCTCGACAATTCTTTCATTGAGGAACACGAGTTCTATTTCTATTTATCTAATTTATTTTCTGTAACTTCTTGAATGGAAGATACATTATATGTCTTTCTTCTTTTCCGTTGTACTAAAATACTTTCTTTGCCAGAAAATACATATGGTAACCTGTAAATATATATTTCAATATATGTATTTCTATTATTCCATATAAAGTAAAAATTCAAATAATTATAATTATACTAAACAAAATTTTATTTTCTAAGCAAACAATTTATTTTCTAAGAGAGAATTAAATTTGAAATCTTTTAAGAAATGTTATTTTATAATAAAATAAAATTTATATTACATTTCGAAATTAACATGTTGAAATTTATATATATAAATATTTTTTATATTTAAATTATTTAAAAAATATATTTCAATAAGTAATAAAAAAACATTATGATTGTTATCAGTGTCACCTTTTTAATTTGTGCTGCGAAATTGTGAAAATTTCCAGAAATTTAAAATTTTTATTTTGGCGTACTATTTTTAATGCTTGTTACTGTAAAAAAAATTAAATAGCAAATACTGTCGGTACGATCGATAGCCATAGTTTACATGGAGATCTCAACGAATGGATAATGAAACCAGAGATGCGGTCCATTCTTAACCAATCAGAATAAAGAATTTTATAAATTGACCAATCAAAAAATGCTTTGAGCATTTGTAGCATCAAGTGGATCGCACCCTATGTTCTGTGATATGCCATCGATGATTTGGCGTCATTTTGTGTTTTACATCTTGTGTTTTTAATGTAACTTATAGAGAAGAGAATTATCAAGAAATAAATACAAATATGAAGAAAGAAAAAACGGGTGATAACAGTCGACCCTTTAAATTAGGTAAGGAGAATGAACGCTTCTTAATATATTTTATGATCATTTTCTACGGTTACATTTTTGTCCACTGTTTTGATTTAAAGTGTTTAAATTGTTTAAATTTCTATTTATATTTATTAAAATTATATTTATTTGCTCTCTATTCTTAATTATAAAGCTTTAATAGAGAATGGTATACATTATTTCATAACATATGTTGGAAATAAATAATAGTGTTCATTTTATAGGTTATAATTCCCTAAGATTGCAAATTGTGTATTAATGGCTGCGTTCAGCGAAACGAGCAATCAGTAATTATTGATCTTTACTGTTAGATCTTTAAATTTAAATCAATTACATTAATCGTTGAGTAATTATTGTATTCGCTGAACATAGTTATTTTATTATAGTAATAATGCATTTTAATTGATTGCAATTAATTGATATAATTGATTACAGCTCATCAAATATTAAGCTTAACGGGAATAAGCTTTCAAAGAAAAAGCATAATTGGCTTTGTCGAATTGACAATTATTCCTTTGCGAGACACGCTGAGGTTGATAAAACTTAACGCCAAACAATGTAGGATATATAGAGTGTGTTTAAATGATACCTATGAAGCCCCTTTCCAATATTTTGATCCATTTCTGGATATCTGTCAAGGGGATAATAAACAGTAAGCAATTTTTTTTTTTTAATAACAGTAATATTAGAGATGGATTGACTGATAATCAATTTGTTTATAGACGGTCCCTGGAATTTTTTTCAACCATGCATTTAGCGGCGGCACAGAAAGTTGATCCTGATAATAATTCTGGTGAATTAGTAGTTCAGATACCACCAGATGCAGCACATCTGGTTGCAGAAAACCGAGGATTACGAATTAGTATCGAATTTTCTTTAGAGCAACCACAAGGAGGTGTGCATTTTGTGGTTCCAAACTGTGAAGGAACTCTAGCTGAGGTAAGCTTAAATATTATAATTGATATCCATGGATTTTCTATCAATATTAAATTTATTTAAAATTTATTTAAAATTTATTTAAAATTAAAATTTTATACAAATTACAATGTTTTATAAATTTTTAAATAATGTTTTTTAGTAACTAATATTTTTTCATTTAATATACAAGAATAAGACTTTAGAAATTTAATCTTTTTATTTTAAAAGTAATTGCGTTTTTTATTATTCAACATTTCCAAATTGAGAAATTCTAATAAATAGACATTTTTTTAATTTAATACTAATAATTATTTTTTTAGAGAGGTGCTCATATGTATACATACAGTTATGAAAATTCATCTAGATTATGGTTCCCATGTGTAGATAGTTTTGCTGAACCATGTACTTGGAAATTGGAATTTACTGTTGACGATTCAATGACTGCAGTATCCTGTGGAGATTTGGTTGAGGTGGTCTATACACCTGACATGCGTAGAAAAACATTTCATTACGTGCTCAACACTCCTGCATGTGCTCCGAACATTGCTTTGGCAGTCGGGTAAATAAATAAAAGTAACTAATAATAAACCTGTTATGATTTATGTTACAATAATATCTTTATATCTTTTTTTCTATTATAGACCTTTTGAAATCTTTGTGGATCCTTATATGCACGAAGTAACTCACTTCTGCCTTCCTCAACTTTTATCATCTTTAAAAGTATCTGCAAAATACATGCACGAAGCATTCGAATTTTATGAAGAAACTTTATCAAATCGATATCCATACTCCTGTTACAAGCAAGTGTTTGTCGATGAGATAGATGAAGACATCAATGCCTATGCTACTATGAGTATTTTAAAGTAAAATTAATTTTTTTTATTTTACATAATCAAGCCTTATTATGATACTTATATGTTATGATTTATTTACTTTGCAGTACGAATTTGTTACATTCTACTGCAATTATAGATCAAGTATATATTACTAAGAAAGCAATGGCACAAGCAATCGCAGAACAATTTTTTGGATGTTTCATATCTATGCAAAATTGGTCAGACACATGGCTACCTAAGGGTATCTCTACATATTTAACAGGACTATATGCTAAAAAATGCTTTGGGAATAATGAATACAGAGAATGGATTCAATCTGTAAGTATTTATAAGTCACAACATATCAAATCATATCATATATTGTTTTTAAATTTAATTGTTTAACTGTTTGATCAACACATAATTTTTATAGGAATTACAAGAAGTTGTAAAATATGAGGAACAGTTTGGTGGTATAATATTAGATCCATCTCAAGCACCAGCACCATTACCCATTGCGGCTAATACTCCAGCGCCTGCTCCTCGTGCTCCTGATCCTGGATTTTATTTTCCAATTAAAAATTTGCATACCATGTCCCCAAAATACATCGAAGTGCTTCGAAAGAAAGCACATTTAATCATGAGAATGCTAGAACATAGAATTGGTCAAGAATTATTACTTCAAGTAAATAAATAAATATATATTTTATTATATATATTTATTTATCTTTAATGAATTGAATTGTTAATTATATATTTAATTCTTTTAGGTGTTTAATAAACAATTGTCTCTAGCAGCTAATGCCGCACAACAAAAAATTGAATCTGGCTTATGGTCGCACATGTTAATTAGTACAAATGTATTTGCCAAAGCAATTTTTACTGTAACAGGGAAAGATATGTCAGTATTCATAGATCAATGGGTGAGAACGGGAGGGCATGCAAAATTCAGTCTAAGTTTTATATTTAATAGAAAAAGGTAAGGCAATTTATTATTGTTTGTATAATTCTATCTATTTATATGTCTTATACTATGTTACAACAATTAAAATAACATGTATAAATACATATTATGTATTTAGAAATACAGTGGAGTTAGAAATTAGACAAGATACTACACATCAAAGAGGGATTAGAAAATATGTGGGTCCATTAGTGGTTAATATTCAAGAATTGGATGGTACTTTTAAACACACATTACAAATTGAGGGTACAATGGCTAGAGCGGATATCACATGCCACAGTAAAAGTCGTAGAAACAAGAAAAAGAAAATTCCATTATGTACTGGCGAAGAAGTTGATATGGATCTCTCTGCTATGGAGTAAGTTCGCGATTTTTTTGTAATTATAAGCTTTATACAACAATCATAGCCTTGTAACGGTTCTATTGTCTTCAAGTATTTTTAAATACATTATATATTCTTTATTTACAGTGATTCTCCAGTATTATGGATCAGGCTTGATCCTGAAATGACTATTATGCGCGCTGTACAAATTGAACAACCTGATTATCAGTGGCAATATCAATTGAGACATGAGAGAGATGTTACTGCACAATTAGAAGCAATTGAAGCTTTACAGCATCATCCAACACCACCCACACGATTAGCCTTGACTGATACAATTGAAAATGAACATTGTTATTATAAAGTCAGACTTCGCGCTGCTCATTGTTTGACAAAGGTCAGTCATTAAACATTGATTTGTTTAATGACAAACTCATTTTTACAAGTACATTCTTATAGGTAGGAAACGCTATGGTAGCAACATGGTCAGGCCCGCCAGCAATGTTGGCCATATTTAGAAAATTATTTGGATCTGCATCATGCCGGCGAATTATTAAACAAAACAATTTCTCAAATTTTCAACATTATTTTCTACAAAAGGTTAGTCATCAGCTAATATTTATATTATAATTATCTAGCAATATCTTTTCTAAACTTTTATATATTTACATGCAGACTATACCAGTTGCAATGGCAGGATTACGCAATGCTCATGGTATTTGTCCACAAGAAGTATTAGCTTTCTTAATGGATCTTTTTAAATATAACGATAATAGTAAAAACAGATATTCCGACAATTATTACAGAGCTGCGCTAATAGAAGCTCTAGGCGCAACTGTTACACCAGTCATCAGTGTACAACAAGGGTATGAATATGCAAATTTGACTAATAATTTATAAATGATGAGCTGATGAAAAAATAAATCTCTTAATATTACAGAACGGCTATTACAGCAGAGTCTTTATCAATTGACACAAAGGCTATTCTAGAAGAAGTAACAAGAAACTTAAACCTAGAGAAATTATTACCTTGCTACAAATACACCGTCAGTGTAGCTTGTCTCAAAGTTATACGCATCCTTCAAAAATTTGGCCATCTTCCAAGCAATCCTCATCTCTTTAGAGCATATGCAGCATATGGACAGTTTATAGGTAATGTTCCAAACTCTGTAACAATATCGATATTTATATTATAAATGTCAAATCTTTTAAAATATAATTAATTAACGTTTTCCAGATGTTAGAATTGCAGCTTTAGAAGCGTTGGTTGATTTTACTCGCGTAGACGGCAAATGGGAAGATCTGGAATTTTTATTAGATATGGCAGAAATGGACCCGCATCCTGGTGTACGCCATAGGCTCGTACGATTAATGGTGGAAAATCCACCGTTCGAAAGAGCTCATAAACACCGCCTAGATAAACCGGATTTAGTTGATCGTATATGGAATTTGATAAAGTATGATAATGTCTTTTGTATAAATTTCTTTTTTTCACATTGATTAATTAACATGATAATTTTATCTGCAGTGGCATGTTATCACACGATGCAAAATTACGTTGCGATTTGGTGGATTTATACTACACTTTATATGGTACAAAAGTTCCATTTTGCCTTCCCATCCCCGAAATTGTGGCGATCACAAAACCTAAAAAAGCTGGTCCGCCAACTCCGGAACGCGAAGTAAAATTTATTATCATGTAATATTATACGATTGCAAAGTTGTTTTTTTCGAATGTTTAATTTTATATTGTGCTTAGGTGAAAGCTGCACCCGTACAATACGTAAAGCACGAATCGATCGAAGAAGTTGAAAGCCTACCTGTCTCAAATAAGAGGAAAGCATCTCCAAACAGGGATCCTCCAGGTCCATCAAATCCAGGAGTGGAACATGGACCGGAATTAAAACGACAAAAAGTAAATGATATATGAAATGATTTCACCTTCTGTCCTTATCAGATAAATTAATCTGTTATTATTTTTAGCAGGATGAACGAGGAATTCCGGTACCTGCTGAAGGGAAAGTTAAATCCGAATATTATAGTGATAATTCCGCGTCATTGCCTGGTATTATGGGCACTCCTCCAGGTCCGGTAGGTTTTGAACCTGGAATGTTCAAAAAGGAATCAGAAGAACATAAACCGAAAAGTGATTCCAGTAATAAGGTACGCGAAATTTTCTAAGTGGTAAAAAATATATTCATATAGTATAATCGTTTCCAATATATCAGAAATTTATGTAAATATATATATATATATATATATATATAATAATACTTACATCACTTACAATAATATACATATTACATATTTATTATACTTGTAGAGCAAAAAGAAAAAGAAGGATAAGAAAAAACATAAGCATAAACATAAGCATAAACATGATCACAAACACAATAAAGATAAGGAAAAAAAGGAAAAGGATAAGAATAAGGATAAGGAGAAGGATAAGGATAAGGAAAAGGAAAAGGGCAAGGATAAAGATTCGTCCGCCTTAAAAATTAAGGATGAGACTCTCAGCTCTGCAAGTTCTAGTCAAAGCCCAGAACCAACTGCTACCAACGAATTCCTTTTCCCTTAGAAATATTTGTTATCGATGTGTGTATATACATTTTAACTTTTTCTTACAAACGCTATTTATATTTTATACGACTTTTATACGATTTGATTAGTCGAAAAGTGTACAAACGTCCGCAATTTATATATGACATATATATATTTGTAAATAGACTATAATAATATATAGTAATAATTATAGCTTTAGCAAATTTTATTAGATATAATATAAATATAAAATTAGATGTAATATAAATATAAAAAGATTGTGCTTACATATTGCAAATAATAAACGATAATAAAAATGAATTACTATACAATTTTTTTACAATTTTTTTCCTGATTATAAAAATTCATCTTTAAATTAATTAGAAACGAGCGTACGCGAATAAATTTCAGCCATAAGTCTCAGACTTTCCTACAATTTTCTATAGTTTTTATTTATTCATTTTCAAATAACGGAGAGAAAAGATTTCGATTTGGAGTATCCGATTCGAAATTCGAACATTACCGACAGCAGAGGCGCGCTCATATTTGAATAGCCGTTGCGCGTTTGCTAGGATGGCGTCCGTGGTGTTGCGGCAATTTCGAAGGGACTAGGAAGTTTTGAAAATTTTCGCAACGACCGAAATAATGGCAGATAATCAGCAAAGCCGATTTGAGAAATCGCTCGGACTGTTAACTACTCGTTTCGTTAGCCTGCTCCAGAAAGCGAAAGACGGCGTGCTGGATTTGAAAGTCGTGAGTATTTTGGGGCCTTGGGAGTACCGAAAAAGTTAACCTGTATTAGGTTAAGTGACAGCGAGCGGGCGTACACGTCATACTCGGATTGCGGGAATTTTGAAAGAGGTGCGGCGCGGGGAAAGGGACGCGTGCGTACACCCGGACGTTCCTCGACTACGCGGACCTTCGCGTTCGTCATCGTAGTGCTATGATACGGCTCTCGGTGCGGTTGGCACGCTGACGTCGTTATAATGATCGAGCATTCCTACCTAACCTGAATGAAACGTAGAGCCCCGCGCTGAGCATCTCGGAAACTCGTTGGAGGCCGTTGGTCCTAATCACACAGCCTAATCACGTGCCTTACGATCAACGTTGCAGGCCGCGGACCTCCTGGAGGTACGACAGAAACGGCGAATCTACGACATCACAAACGTCCTCGAAGGTATCGGCCTTATAGAGAAGAAAAGCAAAAACAGCATTCAATGGAAGTAAGTGTCACTGGCTGTGTGCTCCAAAATTTACTGTCAATACTGAGAACTTATATGTGCGTTGTGAACGATACATTTTCAGTACAGACAATAAATTTTGTAACACAATTACTGTTTTATTATTTCTTGAATGGATTCAGAAAACAATGGTTGAAGAAATACTCACTTTTGTTGATATATTCTGAATTCAGTAAAGATCTAGGTGTCTAATCTTAATTACTAAGAATTACTAAGATTCATTCAATCATTATTATAAATACAGTCAGTATAATAACTTGCTATCTTTTTCTTACGACATATATTAATACTTTATGAATCTATATAAAGGGGTGCTGGACCTGGCTGCAACACTCAAGAGGTTGGCGAGAAGCTGACAGATCTAAAAGAGGAGATCAGCAAGCTAGAAGATCACGAACAATTATTAGACACTCATACCAGATGGATTCAGCAGAGTTTAAAGAACATAGAAAATGATATCATAAATAGGAGATTTGCATATATTACCTATGAGGACGTAAAGGAGAATTTTGCAGATCAATTTGTACTAGGAATTCAAGGTCCTTCGGACATGGAATTAACAGTACCAAATGTTTTAAAGGTATTTAAAGGGATATTTAGAAAACATTTATTTCATTAGTTGCAATCTTAGGTAATTTAAAGTCTTTGAAATGATTTTACTATAATTACAATTTTTATGAAAAGAGGTTGTAAATCTCTTGAGGTTGCAATCTTCATTCTAAAGGATTTAAAAAAATTTTTTTTAACTGTTTGTAATTAATTTTTTTAACTGTCCGAAATGTTTATTTTCCGAGTGACAATAGAATAAATTCATTTATCAATTATTTTGGAATTAAATTTATATTTCATAGAATCAAATCTTTTATTTAACAATTGATTTCAGCTATTAAATACCTCATATTTAAAAAATATTTAATGCAAATTATATCAATATACATATACACACATATTTGTCTTCTATATATTTTATACTATGTATTTTTTTGTTTGATAGACTTTTGTACAGGATGACTTGAAGATAAATTACAATATGCTTCTGAAAAGTAATTTGGGAGAAATTAAAGTGTACATGGTCCAACCAGAGCTAGCTAAAACTTATGATAATAAATTATTAGAAATGAGATTACAAGAAGAATCCAAGGGTACAAAGCGTGGGAATGAGGAAACTGAGAAGAAAGAGGAGGAAGTTCCTGTTAAACCAAAGAGGAAAGTTGGCAGGTAAGCAGAAATAAAAGAAAAAAGAACAATGTGTAAGTCTGTACGAATGCTCTAATCGTGTCAGGAATAATAAGATAATATTCTTGATCTGCACAGAGCAAATAATAATTGCTAATTGCTAATTGATTTTGTAAAGGGGGTGAATAGTTATAAAGCTTAAGCTATTCATTTGATACAAAATGTACATATTTAACAAATTACATCTATTTCTTAAGATTACAATTATATAGAAATATATTAAATGTATTTTTAATATTAGGCCACCAAAAAATGCTAAGCCGGATCCAGTATTAACTGATGACGAAGACGAAGAAGATTCGGAATTAATAGAAGCTAAAATAGTCCTGCGTGATGTAAGCACTACAGGTAAATTCCCATGTGCATCTTAATTACTATATATATATATATATATATATATATAAATTCTCACACAAGTTAAATTCTCAATTGCAGATATTTTCCAAAGAGATTTGGAGTTCTTTGATCAATTCTATCCTGATTGTAAGTCAAATTTTATAATTATTTTGTACATGGTAAATATGATTTAACATTTGTCTAAATTTCATTTGCAGTTTATGGGCCGTTAATGAGATTAAGTCCACCGCCTGGAGAAAAGGATTACAATTTCAATCTTAGTGAGAACGAGGGTGTTTATGATTTATTCGATATTACGACGTAATGAGTGTTGATTTGCTGTAGCAACGATTTACAGACTGTGCCAACAGCATATAAGGGTCGATAATCGGGAAAAATATGATAAAATCATTAAGAAAAATTTATGCGTATAATTTTAGGGAAATTAATATGAATCAATCATTGAGAATATACAGTATTTTTTTATTATTAAAACTATGGGAAGTTAATACGAGGCATTTATGAAGATATCTTCAACCTGTTCTGGCCGCTGTTTTATATAGTGCTGAAAGTAACGTGAAGTTTTAAAGGCACCTTTTATATAGAGATTATTCTAGCTTTAAGTAGATCATACGAACTTGCTTCATGAATCTTCTTGAAGGCAAATATATATTTGTTGCAATAATTCTTCATTTGGAATACAATAAAAGAAAAACCATACAAATATAAAAAAAAAACAATTTACTACAGTGTTGTCTAGAATTTTTGTAGTTTGGGACTTAGAATTGATGCGTCGATATTTTTGCTGTGTTTTTATGATTGTGTTTTCTATCTTCCATTTCCATTAGCCGTCTTTTCACAGCATAGAACGATTGATCTCAGAGATAAGACACACATTCAGACGTATAAAATTTTATTAATTTTATATTTGTTACTATAGCATGCAAACACACTCATATATTTTTAATGATTAAAAAGAATAATGTAATATTATTAAAAATAATAATATAATAATATATTAAAATGATATATTTAAAAAAATAGCATTGTTACACATAAGAAAAACTCTCATCACTAGTCTTCTCTCCGAAATCGATCGTCTCACATTATGAAAAAACAGAAATGAGAAATAGGAAAAATATTAAGTATGAATATGTATCAATTTCAAGCCCAAAACTATAAATCCTGAACAACACTTCATTATATGTTGTATATAACAGCATGAAGCAAGTCTTCGTCAAAAACATTGAACTTTTGTAACAAATCAATTACATGCACATGATGTTGTATTCTATCAAACGCTGCGATGTGATTAGAATGAATGTATATTGCGCGTATTACGCGCGAATTCGACATTTTTAAATATTTTATTATATATGTATTCATATCTTTATTGTTGATAATGCATATACATTCGCTTATATTTATGTACAGTACATCTTCTTTATCGCGTGACACGCAGAATCATTAAATCAATTGTATTTCTTAATACAACTCGCATATACATACATATTTCTCTCTTTCTTTCATGTCTGATTATATTGTCTGAATATATGACCACAGAATGCTGGTTGATTCGTTTTCTGTGACGAGTCAGACGTGAGCGCGCGATCGCGGGTACCAATTTATCGACTCCTTTCGTCGAGCTTTCTACGTTACCAGGAAGGTGCGCAGCAGACGACGGGCTATTATGCAATGCGATCGATTCAACGGAAAAGCACGTATCGGCGGATGACGTATATCAAGGACAGATAAGAATGGACTGACTGATTTCGTCATCATCATCTTCGTCAGCATGTGTTCCGTCAACGTCAGGGAACTCCGCCGCAGCTGCCGTTAGTCGACCGCATCACGTTGTAATAAAAGCCACGCGAGATCTCCAGATGCAACGATCCGACATATCCGGTGACGCACACGCACGCAGCACAAATTCGAACGTAGCTCTAGCGCGTTTTTCAAGAAACGACTCCATATTCTTACGTTTGTTCTTAGTGACGTTGCGAAAGGTAACTGTCTCGTGTCGATTCTACAGGTAAACTAGAGGAAATATCTGTGACGTAATATGTGTCGAAAATTGCGAAACTTGTGCGTCATATCTTTAGGAAATGGATCAATCTCCGATTAACTGAATCGATGATTAGCTTATAATATTATTAACTTTTTTGTTGTTGAAAATCCGAGATTAGAAACAATGAATTATATGTATATTTAAGAATTTTAAAATGTAAAAAGTTTTCTGCTAAATTTTCGATTATAAGTATTTTGTATCAAAAATTGACTAATGAATGATTATTTATTTATTTATTTATTTTTTTAAATTTTACTAACTCACGTTCTGAATTCTTTTTTGTTGATAAAAGTGCTTCTAAAAGTAATTTATAGGCAATCAGAAAGCTTATCAACCGCATTTTTATTGATAAGAGAAGCCTATGACAATGACTATATGACAATGTAGTTCACAAATCTATTCAGGATAATTTATTTGTTACTTTTATTTTAGTTTTTTTTTTAACTAATTGTAAGATATTCTTTTAAGTGCATTTAAATTATACATAGTTTTATGTTCAAAAGCCAGGTTTTTCGGAATGGCTTGATTTTGACAAGATAGTATTATCGATAAAGTACAAAAAAAACCTATTTTTGTAACCAAACTATTTACACTATTTATTTTTTTTCTGTTTCTCAAAAGGAAAAAATAAATGGTATAAAAAGTTTATATAAAAAGAACAGCCTAAAGTACAAAGGCCTAAAGTACAAAGTAAAGATTAATATCTGTCCCTTTTAGTTAAACATTTTATACTATTTATATTTTCTTTTTTTTTCTCTGATGCTCAAAGAAAAAAAAAGAAAGATGAATGATGTAAGAAATTAGTTAAGAAAAACAAGTCTAATATTATGAAAATTTGCATGATTATAAAATTTGGACGATTGACATATAATAATTTTATGATTTATTATATATATATAAATTTTTTAATTATATAAAAATGATAATTCTAGACATTCATATATTTTTGCAGACTGAACACCGAAAATGCGTATCATATTCGTAAAATTTCGCGAGATCTCGCAGAAATACCCAATCGTTCGAGGCATGGCGTCTTATTCAATTATATGGCCAACTGCTTGCCTGCTGCAACAGAAGATAATGGGAAAGGAAGAATTTAATTATGCAGAAGCTATACGATATAGTCTGTACGGTAGTCTTTATGTAGCGCCTACACTGTATTGTTGGTTGAAATGCGCGTCTTACTTCTGGCCTAAAACAAATTTAAAGTCTGCAATTACAAAGGTATGCAAAGAGAACTGGATAATTTGTATTGTTTAATTTTACTGCATAATTAATTTCTTTATATAAATAAAAATAGTTTAATAGTGATTAATTAATAATGAAGTAACTGGATAATAATTGCAGGCTTTGGTTGAGCAAGTTACATATAGTCCTGCAGCCATGTGTTCCTTTTTCTTTGGCATGAGCCTTCTTGAATTAAAGCCAGTTTCGGAATGCATCGACGAGGTCAAAATTAAATTCTGGCCAACATACAAGGTATTATATCTTTAATACAGATGCGTTTCTGTATTCGAGATTAAACGGATTAATGGAGAGATAATTTTCTTTTTTAGGTTGCCATTTGCGTATGGCCAATTCTACAAACTGTCAATTTTTTCTAATCCCGGAACGTAATCGCGTTGTGTATGTCAGTGTATGTAGTTTAATCTGGACATGTTTCCTTGCATACATGAAAACTTACGAAAGCAAACAGAAACAGAAGGAGATTATAGACATAAACGTGAATCCCAAGATGATATTAGAAAGTAAAGCACAAACTACGCACAACGAGAGATCCAGTCATATGCAGATTCCTTTACTACGATGAAAGTTTTAGGAAATTGACGCCATTAGATTAATTTACTTGTATATAGTCTAGGTCTTTTGCAATTGGAAGTTATATTTATATTTTATACTGTATAACGCGTTTCACACATATGACATCTGTGATATTCACAGTACAAAAATATTCACAGTACAAAAATATTACTCGCTTCTTCGCAAGTACGTGTTAATACATGGTAATGTATTAATAATATTTAAAAGAGAATTGTAAGAATTTTTAAATGAAAATATAATATGATTGACAATAAATATATTTGGCATACCGATTGTTAATAGTAATATTAAAAATACAGTATGAAATTTTAGATGAACTTAAGTAAATATCAAAATTATCTAAATGTAAATTATCTTTTTTTTTTAAATCTTTTTATGATTTCTTCCTTTACCAAATATTAAAGTAACAGAAATCCTACATTATCAACAATATGTAACAGGAATGATAAAATTGGTAGTAGAGATTCAAACTCTAATCAGCACAGATGATAACTATAAAAATGCAATTTTAAATAAAATTAAATAGAGCAAATTATAAATATATATGTATTTAAGAAATATATTTAAGGAACAATAATAAATTAATATAATTATTTAAAATTTTAACAGTCATGCGTGGTTATGCGACTTCCATAAGATCGTCGGTCTTTAAGTTTTATTGGTGCTGATTTATGTTATGTATCTCATTTTATATTTAAAACTATATTATAAGAAAAATGTAAATAAATATTAATATATTGAAAATATAAAAGTATAAATGCATTCCCATTCTTATTCTTTATTGCTAATGTCGTTGTTACCATAATAAACTGATAGCTTTGACCTAATTAACATGAAAAGTTGCGATAAAATATTACTTAAATATGCAGTTTTTCATATAACAGATTTATTCAATATTTGATTGCAATTACATTTTTTTTTATAAAGCAAATTGAAATTAGTGTCAACAAACTGAATATTAATACACGAGCGAAACAGGATTTGTTTTTATTATACTTTTTTGTGTTACACAATCATATTTATTTCCGATAGATACTGATCCAATAAAAATTCTGAATGTTAAAAATACCAATTATTATTTTTTCATATTTTAAATTTGCACAGATTTTAGAGTTATATTGTAAATTATATTACGCATTATTGTATGTAAAAGTCATTATTAATCATTATAAAATGATATTATATAATAATGTTAATATGTTATATAATATAATTCATTTATCAACATGCATGAAAACTTAACATTATATAATGCATTGTATATATTATCAAAATATATATGATTAGTTGTAAAATTATTCCTATTAATTGTGGTTCGAGAAAAGCATATTAGGACGATTCAAAGTATAAAATTACTTTCGACATTCTCGTATAACATCATTTGAGATACAAGGCTTTATCAGATATACCAATACCAAAACATGGATAAAGATAGCATAATGTGACTGTAGTTTAATATCAGTCCGAAAATAGTCATTTGCCAATTAACAATTACGATATTACAGAAAAGGTAACACATCTTATTCAATATATAAACATTTTTCACAAATATTGGAAGTAGATCACATATTGCAATACCAGATTTTGTACGGGAATTGGGGGTATCATTTGTAAGTAATATACTTAATAAGAAAATATTAATTTATCAAAAATTAAAACTAATTAGATATTTTACAATTAAAGAAATATTTATAGAAAATTTCCTATTTATTATTTGAAGCTCATTAAATATTTTCCTTATTTTATTAATGACAATCTGCGTCTGAGTTAAATAAACTGTGAGATATAGATATTTAAAAATAAAATAAATAATATATTAAAAACTAAATTATAAAAAAAGACTATTGTTTATGGATATAATTTAATCTATGTTTAAGTTGTATAAAATTATCTCTGAATTATCACACATAAAAAATAAATTATTTTTTAATACGTACAAGTATTAAACAGCAAAATTTCTTTTAATACATATAATAATATATATAATGCTTAACATTTTACAAATCAGTTCAACTCAGTCACTCTCAATAATTTATAGATCGCTATGTTTTATTGTTAGACAATTCAGGTATTTCACATAAAGTTCTGGATAAAAGAAATAACAGATACTTACATAAATCAATAAGAATATTCTTTAATGACAGTGTGGGATTAGTTGAATAAGTGAGATAATAAATCATAGAAATGTAGAAGGATAAAGAATATAATGTCATCAATAATATCAAATGGATACCAATGAATTTTGCCATACAATCAAATTCGAATTCTTCTACATTTTGTTTAGCAATTAGCTTACTGCATCAAAATGTACTTTTTATGATAAATCCGAAAGATTGAATTATAGTTACATTTACAATAAACAAATGAGCAATAAAATCAATGAATATTTATAGATTTTTTCATTTATTTACATAATATAAAGAAATAAAAAAGAAATGGAAATCAATGTTTAAAGATCTATCTCTTTGCAAATTCAATTAAACAAATTTAATAATTTAGAAAAACAATATTTTTGTGCAATGGGATATTATTGCGTCAATTAGAATTCTACAAATCGGCGATTGTACGTTGTTTAAAAATTGTACGTTGTTTAAATTCTGTGGAATATAGAAACACACACGTTTTTCAATCATATGCAAATCATCAATGCATATGAATATCTCCATATTCTCTGAATATAAATAGTAATAAATATCGAATTAATTTATTATTTTAGATAAGAGAAAATTTATAAAATAAGTCTGAGAAGAAAATAAAGTTTCGATAACATCGTTTCTAGAATTATGTTCGGTTTATCTCGAAAATATCATAAACAGTTTTTTAGAGTGGTTTACAAATAGAAGAAATCGAACTTGAGTAACCAGTGGCTTAAATAAATTAAAGATAATTTATATAACGTCTGTAGATTTATTTATATTTTGAATAATTCTTTTAAGTAATTATATTACTTTTTTATTTATTATCTCGTTATTATTTCTCATCTATTTTTAATTATTGTATATTTTGTATATAATATTGCAAGATTTAATTTTTATGTTAATAATCACGTAACTGTTAACACAATTTTGGACTCTTGTAATATGTTTATTTCTTATTGATTAAAATTATATATTGTACATATTAGATTTTACCTTTGTGTATTCCTTTAAAACTTCGTGTAATACAGATTTTACATTAAGAACTATCTTACATATAAACTTACATAGAAATATAAATACTGCCTTTTATATTAAGGAAATAATATTTTAAACAATAGTAATGGTAATATTATTAATTTTTATAATTTTAAACATTACTTCTAACAATATATTGATAGTCAAGTCTAATAGTTGCTTCAATGTGTACACTTATTTGTTAATAATTTTATATCTTTTTACAAAATAGGATATTATTAAATCAAGATTAATCTTAATTGAAAAAAAATTATACATTTATCTGTGTTCAATGATCAAAATATTATTTTCTAAATCTTTTAATAACTTGAATATATAATTAGATATTTTGATCAAAAGAGAATTTATTTAAATTTGAAAACATACTCATAGCAAGGTAAGGGACCGAGTAATTTCGTAAGATATTTGTTTTCGTCTAATTTATACTAGGATACATTTATGTACAAATGTGGTTACACAACACTATCGTACTTATTATGGTATAAGAGGATACACTGTTGTC